CAGGCTTTGGAAACAAGACTGCGGTGGAATGGTGCACGGGAGTGTCTGATATTCGACCCCCTCGAGGAGGTTGACCAGGTTGATGCGGAAGTTCAGACAGATAAAACCCTTGTTGTTAGACGATGGTAGGAAAGAAACATAGACAAGGTGGTGGCACACTGCAAACGACGCACTGGTGAACAACATGACTGGTGGTTCCCTAATATCAGTCAAAAAGACGTGGGCCTCTCGGAGGACGGTTAAAGACGCCGAAATCGAGCCTACAAACGACAGTTCGACCGTCCATTCCGACGACGTCCACCGCGTGCCACAGCTTACACTGAGTATGCAGATGGTGGGCATGGTTGCCCAGTCATCATACTCGCCCTCCTGACCCCTGTTGGGGTGTCGTTGTTGGTGAAATATCCTGGTCAAGCGTTTATTGTGGAGCAGGGGGTTTGGTGGAACACCTGGGTGTCAGTCCGGCCGTGCCACCCATCTGCGCCCTCCCTCGCCTCCGGTCGTCTTGGCACTGACTTAACACCAGGTCCAGGTGGGGAAGGAGGAGAGGGTGCAGTAGATGCTGCGCAAGTCTGCTGTCAATATAAGCTGATTCACGCTCAAGTCACCGTGCCTGCTGCACCTAGCTGTGTAGCACACGATGGACATCGTCGGAATCGACGGTCGAACTGTCATCACGTGGCAACCTCAACGTCTTCGGCCGGTAGAGCGCACCGAACTGTAGCCCCTCGACCGAGCTTAACTCGGGCGCACGTGCATCCACCGAGTCTGTGCGCCACTTGAATGCAACACAAGCCACTTGAACACCAGTCCAGTCATCCCTGTCCATCTGACCCCTGTTGGGGGTGTGGGTTTTGTTGGTGATGAAAAATCCTGATCAATTTTTTGTTGTGGACCAGGGGGTGTGGTGGTACGCCAAGATGCGGACTCGACAGTGCCATCCACCTGCGTCCTCCCCCTCCTCCGGTCTTCTTGACTGTGTCTCGACACCGGGTCCAGGTGGTGAGTGGGGAAGTGAGAGTGCGGTAGATGCTGCGCAAGTTTACCACCGCTACAAACTAATTCACGTGCAAGTCACCGTGCCTACTGCACCTTGCTGTGTAGCATACGGTGGATATCGTCGGAATGGACGGTCGAACTGTCGTTTGTAGGCTTGATTTCGGCGTCTTTGACCGTTTTCGGAGAGATCCACTTCATTTTGGCTGATATTAGGGAACTGCCAGTCATGTTATTCGCCAGTGCGTCGCTTGTAGTGTGCCACCACCTTGTCTATGCTTCTTTCCTACCACCTCGGACTTCCAACGTTATACTACCGTCTAACAACAAGGGTTTTATCTGTCTGAACTTCCGCATCAACATGGTTAACCTCCCCGAGGGGGCCGAATATCAGACATTCCCGTGTACCATTCCACTGCAGTCTTGTGCCCAAAGCCTGTCGTCTCATCTGACTGCTCAAAGGTTGTCGCCAAAACAGGAACAGGGCGATAGCCTCGGCATTTCTGCCATCAGCAAAGAAGCATGCGCAAATGCAGGGCAACTCCTGACGCGGTGCTACCTCCGTGTGATTCTTACTCCCACTTTTTTGTGCCCATTCCAATAATTCCTTCAGGATGTTGTTGCGAGAGTTTTATGCTGCAGTGGTGCACAGCGAATGAGCAGCGTCATGCTATCTCCTCCGATGTGGCCTCTCAGTAGAGGAAAAACTTTGCCGCAAGTGCGATAGGTCGGTGATGCTCCGTGGACAGAATACGCCGGTATGGAGGTGCCGAGGAAGAGTTTGTCAGTTTGTGCGACCGGTAAGAACGGGGAAGTAAATTCTTCCCTTACTGCGATTTGAACAGAAGACCACTGTAATTTGAATCTCTGTGAAATTTTGGAGCTAGTTTATCTCTGAACCAACAGAATGTCGCTGGAAGAGGTGTCGAAACTTATCAGTAGGTCCCGAAATACGGAGGTTTTCTGGTTTAATTTCTGTCAGGAAGTCTGCTCCGGAATGATATCGGTCGTTAAGAGAGAAAAGCTGGATAGCACACTGAAAAACTCAATCCACATTGAAGAGGCCAGGTTTTCAGGGTGCCATAAGTGTAATCGTTGCCGCCTTTTAGGTGGTGATATGGCAACCGTAGGATAAAGGACCCCAATTAATTGTGTCATACGGGAACGATGGTGGGACAACACGCCGAACAGTAAACTGGCGGAATACAGGAGACCAGAGAAGACGGTCGGCGGCAAGAACAATACTTTCGAGAAAAATGATGAATTTATGCAGATACGGTATCCAGCTAGATATTCCATGCCGTTCCATCTTGAAAGAATGCCTGACCATCGAACAATTGAGCACATCCCCTGGCAGACAGTTCTGTCATCCCTCAACTCATGCTCAGTTGATTTCCGTTTTTTGTTTCTCAGCTCTTGGCTACAAATGCCAGTCATCGGTACTTAACTAGATTTCACAAGTACGTACATCAGCACACAATTCACAGTTTATCGACAACTAAGTGGGTCCTTCACCCTACCATTGCCGGAGATGCATCTGCCAAGGAAAACGGTAACGATCCAGTATAGAATTATCGGAAGCACGGCTCACGCAGTAATGGTCAAAGGGTCTTTGGAGAGTGTCAGGGTATCGACATTGGGTACCTCCACACACAAAAACAAGAGGCGGCGAAGTTGATCCCTTTAACTGAACACACAGTAGAAGCAGGTTAAACAGTAAATTCGGACATATGGCCATCTTATCGGCTACTTAATCAGGCTGAGTACGATCAAAAAACGTCAGTCACCAGGAAGACTAAGTAGATCTGAATGCAGATGCGCACATCCAGCAAATCGAGCGGACTTGGTTAGACAGCAAGATTCAGATTTCGAAGGAAGGTTTCGGTGTTCCATAGCATTTACTTCGCGAGCACTTGTATGAACAATGCTGGCGTGCCTTCGAGGAAGATAAAGACCACTTCATAGCAATCCTACGCGATATTAGAGAAGTATGTGTTGCTTTATTGTTGCTATTTAATTCAGATTTAGTGTTCACAATTCAGTTGACATATTTTAAATCTGATTCTTGTCTTTGAGCAGTGTCTACTAGGATAGGAATCACGCTATAATAAAACACCGATAATAGGAATCACTATGGTAGCACCCCTGGTGCTTTTAGAGTTTAAGCACCTAAAAGTCCGTCCATTAGTCGAAGCTCGCACGCCTGCATGCTCATTTCTCGCCCACGTCCAAACCTAACTTTGCGAGTTCAGTTTTCGCTCCCCCGATTACCTGGTCGTCTGCTGCCACGGCGCCGTCCAGCGGCAGTGGAGCGTGTGTCACAGCGCCTTGAGCGAGAGCCCGTCTGAGTCGGCCTTGAAGTTGATTGGCCGGCGTGCATAACCGTGATTGGCCAGGAGCCAGACAAGTGCCACTGTGTAACGTCCCTTGATCTGAACAGGGTTGTTTGAATGCTGTAACAGTTTTTGGCGCGGACCTGGCATGGCGATGGTGTAACTGCGTGCTGGTGAAGACGGCCGGTGTCCCTCCCTCTCGCTATCGCCGACACCCCGCTCCCACAACGCATCGCCACTCTCGTCTCTCTCACTCAACGTCAGCTCCCCCCTCGGCCCTTCCCTGCAGTTGCCCACAGCGCTGCATCCCCACCGGTTGTTTAGCTACTATGTCAGGGCCACCTATCCATCCAGACAGGTCAGTTATTTGCAGTTTCTCATTCTACATGTACACCAACAATTATTATACACATCTCCCGTGCCCATCTCGTTATATTTCACTATATTCCTTACTCGAGGTACCTTCTTCTTCTGCATGTGAATGAGTATCAGGAGATGCTAACAGTTCTGTTCAGATCTATCTCCGCCCGGATCTCTTCTCAACGTTTCATTACTTTGGTGTGTGCTACCCTTGACGTCTTCGGCCGCCACAACTGGTTAGCAGGTGGAAGAGGGAGAGCAGACTCGGTACCGTGAGAGCGAAGTCCCGAGTGGTGATGGGCAGCTTGTCACAGTGCATTAAGCGAGAGCAGGTCTGAGTCGGCCTCAAAGGTGATAGGCCGGTTGGAGCAGCCATGATTGGTCGAGAAGCAGACTTTCAGTGGTGCGTCCGTGTAAGTACTCACGCGATGCGCGCCCTTGCTAGAGGCACTCCGAGAAGGACCACTAAAGGCGCACGGGTCATTTCCGGCCTACTTGCAGTCATCAGCCAGCCCCAACCAATCCCACGTTTAGAGGTCGACTGAGATTACACCCAAGCCGCGCTCTTATGCTTAGTAGTCTAATGCCCTCACGACTGAGCCATGGATTCACTGTCGTGTCGATTGCGATCGGGTAGAGGTAGGACGCTCGCTGGGTGGGACTTATGGGACATATGCGTCCCCTTCTGATTTGAGACTCCATTCAAAATTCATCTGACATAGCCGATCGAAGGCGACACCACAAGGAGTCAGTGGTAAGCGCGTAGGAATAATAAAAATCAAAAGACCGGGCATTGGAGTCACAGGTCTTCGCAAACCTGAAAGCTGACTGATGACGGGAAGTAAGCCAGAAATGGCCACGCCGCCCGTCTCCCTTCAGCGTAATATGAAATAGCCGGAGTATGAGTAGACGAAATTATGCAACGGCAAGACTTGGACACCACAATGAAAACCAACCCTCCGTCCACAATACGAGCTGTAAACATGAAGATGCTTGATTCGCAAAACAAGCCATCAAGCATTCTCGGTACTCCAATCATCTACCATACGCCAAAATCAGCTCAGCCAACAGCAAAACTCGCCTTGTTTACTCACATGTTCGCTTACTAACAAGTAACAAAAGGCATTCCTGTAGCGCAGTGCCAAACAAACCCATAAATTCTTCCGCCCTGATTCAGCTATAAAAGGAGGGGTAGTGGTGCGTGTGGTTGAGTCGTCAGCTAGTCTACAGCATCTCAACCTAAGACAATGAAACTGCTTCTCACATTGCTGGTGTTGGCAGTCCTGGCGCAGATGACCCTGGCGAAAACGGTTAGGAAGGACGAGGAGGAACCAGAGGGGGAGGTGAGTGCGAAGGCGGAGGACGAGGGTGCAGTGTCTCCAGCCTGCGGCGGCGGTTGGTGGGGTGGCTGTGGCTGTCATCACCACCACGGATGTTGTTGGCGTCGCTGCTGCCACCATCACCACCACTGTTGCCACCACCATCATGGCTGCGGCTGGGGTTGGGGTTGGTAAATATGTATGACCAATGTCTGTGAATTCCGACAATAAATCATTAACTGACCCATTTACTACGTGCTCTCTTCTTGAATATCTACTCACTCTCTATCATTGCGAATATCTACGTAGTCTAGTTGGTAGAAGTGAGGATTGAATCGCTTTCTGAAGGTTCTAACGATTCTGGCTTGCACTGAAGAACGCCTCCATTCCAAAGCTTTGCGGTACAAATGTCTATCTTCTTCGATGAGATAGCGTCGTTGACTGTTGCATCGTTTGTCGACAAGTAGCAAGGACTGTTGAGCCATTGTGATGAATGGGTCAGTCCTCCTCGCTACAAGGATCACTGGCAGCGGTATGAAAACGATGTGTCACCTAGTGCTCTTGGCCCATCCCAACGGTATCCACCGAGCAGACTATTATGCTAGTTAGCCTGAAAGTGACCAGAGAAGGGTAGGAGGAGGAGGAGGAGGAGGAGGAGGAGGAAGGTGAGTACTATGCATGAATGCTGCCGACTACGACGACAACATGACCGCCAGCGGATCCATATTTCACCCAGAATGCCTCTCATTCTCAGAACAGACTGGCAGTCTGGATAGAAAGATTCAACGCGATTTACCTACGTACTTCACTTTCCTTTCTATTACTGGTTAATGTGACTAAACATCGTGGAAGTAAGTAGGCGTGGCTAGTTTACTCGTCTCTTTATACAAATTCTGAATTCTACATGCTGCTGCTGCTGCTGCTGCTGCAGAGCACACGGTCTTATCGCACGTTCTCCTGTCCACAACGCCATATGACCCCTGCCAAATGTGCATGGCATCTTCTTTGCAAATGCTCAGGGAATCTTCAGGTTGCATAGGGGTCAGTATTTCCGCGGAGATCGTGTTGGAGTTTGACTGGCAATCGTGCCGCGGCGGCAGCTATAAGTCTGTGAGGACCTAACTGACTACGACCATCAGGTCCTTCGCTGAGAAGATGCTGCATTCTGTACAGAAACACTTAGAGAACCGGTTGAAATAAGTTGGTAGGCGGAAGGGGTAGAGCAGGCTCGGCACCGTGAGAGCGAAGTCCCGAGTGGCGCTGGGCAGCGTGTCACAGCGCCTTGAGTGAGAGCCCGTCTGAGTCAGTCGTGAAGATGATTGGCCGATGTGCACAACCGTGATTGGCCAGGAGCCAGACTACTGCCACTGGTAAGCACGTGTGAGAGGCGCAGCGTTGAACAGGCGCCCAGCGTAGGGCCACTACAGGGCTTTAGACTAAGCTTTGACTTGTGATCAGGTTTGCGTTTCTGGCCCTGATTTCAATTACGGTCAGCGTTAAGATAAAGGAATAAAACGCGGTTTTCAGACAGGATTTTCAATTAGGGCAGGATCTACGATTACGTCCACGTGCATGGTACTGCATTAGGTCTTGAATTAGACTAACAAAATAGGATTGCAGTTAGGCTCAAGGTTACGGTCAGAACTGTGGGTAAAGCTATGGTTACACTTGCTGCCCTGTTTAGAGCCAGTGTTAGTATGTAGTAACCAGAGCCTACCGCTTGATGCCTGACTTGAGTTCCAACAAATGGGCACCTACTCGCTGGTCGCTGTCCAGGGTTATAGTTTCGCAGTCTGCATTTTGAGCCAATGCCGAGCGCCGTTTCATGCACGACAGTCTACACCAACACAGAAGGTCAAGGCTGCAATCGGTGTCGATGACCAACTATAGCAAATGGTTTGCTATATGATGGACCTCCAGCAAACCTTGAGCATGAATAATTGTAAAGAGGATATAGAAAAGCTCGCCGTGAGCGGCAGCATAAATGGCATTACGACTCGAGTAGGCCTCATATCCGCATAAGGGATTCTACACAGCCACCTCTAAATAGTAGGATCCATGGACTGGTCGGGCCAAGATAGCAAGAAACGACGCAGGATTGGAAGGAAAACTGACTTTTTGATGAGGGACTGGAACGCTTTTCCCAAACTGCGGAACAAAAAAACCTGTTTTGTCCCCTGTTTCTTGTTTTGTACGACATGCCTGAAGTATTACTCGCTGGCAGTATTTTGGGAATTGGGCTCATTAGAAGACTACATAAGTTGAAAAATTTTGTTGCCTTGTTAGATAACTGGTTGGTTACTATACAACGTCATGTGCAGTGTCATCAGTAAGAACTATGCACCGCATTTGTGTCCGTTTGGATGTCATTATCTTAGATGAAATTGTCGAAGCCATCTTTTTTCTCTAGTTAGAAGATACTACACAAGCCGTAATTGAAAGTATACAAACAAACTTACGGATCAACTCAGATATGAGCTACAAAAAACTAGTCGCAACCTCTAGTTGTCTAGTTGGCATGAGTCCTGGGAGACTTCACTGTTGACACTGCTTTCGAACCGTCGTTACACTGACGGAAACTGCGCGTGGAATGGCTGCTTCTCGATCCCTGGTCGCACTGGGTTCTGCGAAAGCGAATAACTCCTCTCGCTGATGTGGCTGAAACCGAAGCTGTGAGTGTTCTCAGACAGTACTGCAACAGTCATCGACTCGAAATGTGTTGACCATGTGAGGAGTGGGATGTTAGGAATGCGTGGTTTCCAGTACGGGCTGAGGAGCAATAATAAATAATATACTACTCCCTTATATTCAGTAGCGATTATGTTGTGATTCGTAGCATCCCGTGGGCCGTGCTCGCGCACAGCATTCAAAACCTGCCTCGACCGCCCACTTTTCGAGTAACATTGGGCGACTCATTAGTCAGAAACCTTTTCATACATGTAAGAGCTAGTCAACCGTCAAGAGACCTTATTTTCTTGTTCTCTTTTTATTGGCTTGCCGCAAATGCAAATTAGACAAATCATCGATGGTTAATTGGGATGAAGTCATGAAGTTTTATTGTAGTTTCTGGTTTCCAGTTGTCCAGCCGCCCTCCAGAACCAGGAGTTCATACCAGAGGAGTCATTAAACCATTCCGTTTGCACATTGCTGTTTTTCTAAATGCATAAAAGTGAGAATAAACTGCCCTCATTATTATATTTATACGAAATCCAGTGAAAGACCTGATGCGAAGGTAGGAAGGCTTTGCTAAAAGCATTGCAGTAGTTTAGATGAGCTAAAGTCAGAACACACTGTCAATGGTTGGGAAATGACCCTGAGCCACTATTTCTATAGTGTCAAATAATGACTGGACCCTTGTTGCCCTTGTGGCGCGTTCAAATGGTCGCATGTGCAGCTGCGACTGCGCGGACGCAGGTATGCCCTAGCTGTTGGCCGTGTGACTTCAGGTCAGCTCGTCTGGGACGGCTCGTTGCCAGGGGTGAATGACCTTGAGGCAGTGAGGTCTTGAACAATGACGCCGGATCAGTCATGATGGCTAGGCACTACATCCTCAACATTAGGAATAAAAAAGAATGCAAAGGTTCATTCTCCTTCCGAAATCCTTCAAAGAGCGATTAGGAACGATTACAAATAATGCGGTATTTGAAAAGTCGTCTCTGACTGGTTACCGGGCTGTCTGATGTCCTTGTTCGAAGCCCCGCTGCCTGAAAATCATTCACCTTTGCAGCGAGAGTATAGTAGTATATTTAGGGTAATAGGTAATGCCCTTGATGGCCCTATTTAAAACAGTACGTGTAATATTAATGCTGAAAACGCATCTTACTAAAATGTTCCCAGTAACATATTCGTATGCGATAAGGATTTTGCAGTGTGGAACTGCCAAGATTACGGCAGAGAGTCCTTTCCCTGTGTATTTGAGATTGTGCGTGCAGTTATATACAATCAGTATAAAATGCCGTCATTTTGTAATTTGCGGGAGAAAATTTCACCAAACACGCGTTTCATAGGGCGTGAAATGAGGCTTGTAGGCCTGCATCCACTCGACCGATTTCATCTCAGATACGTGCGACAAGACTCCACGAACCTATCAAAGCCGCTACCGCCACTTATCTTACTCACTTTAAGGTCCTACTTAGGACAGTCATAACACGCGCTGTCTTCACCAGAGGCCGCTGCCGCTTGAGACAGCAACACAGGATTCTGTACATAATAAATTTCTCCTAAATGTGCCGAATACCTTCTCCTGCTACCCATGACATAACCTGAAGATTGCGGCGCTCTCAGTACAGCCTTGCTACTTCGACGCTACTCGCGAAAGAATTCTAAAAACATCGGATGGTGAGGCGCAGGAATTACATTGTTACAAGCCCATCCCGTCTAGTGAAATCACATAAGCTGCTTTGAAAACTTTGCGTACACCATAACAGCGAAAAAGGCACACCTATTACCAGAAAAAATCCAGCGGGAAATGAAGAAGCTAGCCGGCTTCCACTTCTGGCGATTTACCGTTTATTGCCGTCACAGATGATCATAAGCCGTGTCCCTATTGAATCTGAGAGGTTAAAAAGGTTAATGCTGCCAAAATCCTCATCA